CCAGCAAAACCCCTTAGTCACTCCAGCTTCCCTGGGCCACCCTCGGACTTAGGCCACACTCAGAGGTGAGAGGTTATAAAACCCACAATCACCAACTCCAGACAGATCCTTCTGGTCCAAAGGACTCAGCCACAGTTCCAGGCCAATTTTCACTTTAGATCTTACCCACAAGAGCACGCTGGGCCAATCCTTTAGAATCTAAACTGTAAAGATATAGTAATAAAAGAAAGAAAAAGTTGAGAGTAAGATGGCTAATGAGAACACATCATATATGAACATCACACCGTACACAAGTATCATACATGGAATCAGCAGAGTACAGGCTTTCATTAGACACTTTATATGGGCCCCTTTGCAGAAGTGGGCTGTGACCACGAAAGCTCATGATTCCATCTACAAAGTGCTCCCAGACCATTTGTTGTTTTTCCTGTAACAGACTAACTCAGCTACCCCCTGAAAATACCTAGTTGTAGTTCATGATGAATTAAGGTGCTAATTAGGCTTTCTCTTAAATGTCATTGTTTAAGAACATTGTTCCTGTGGTCTGGGAAGGATTGTCTCCCACTCCTTGTGTGTCTGTTCAGTCAAACAAAAGACAGAGAGCTGGCAATGTATTCAGTGGGTCTCTCTGCCTCTACTCCCACATTTTTTTTCCTTAAATGAGCTGCTCTCTCAAACACTTACACTTTGTCAATAAGGAATTCAACAAAGGAAGAAATATGCTAATAATTTCCTAAGAAGCTAATAACTGCACTCTACCAACGCTCTGCCACACTGTAAGAACGACACTGGTTACTGCAATACATCTGGCTTAAAAGGAGAAAACAAGGAGGCTTGTGCAGAGAGCTGTGAATATTAGCATGTCTCCTGAGGAGTGTTAACTCGGTGTTATCAGTATGTGCAGATAACCTTTAACATTAATCAAATGCAAACTTTACTCATAGAAGCAGGGGCTCCAGAGAAAGTAGGAGAGAGAAAACTCCTTCACTCTTCCACTAGCAAGATGGTGTTGCAGCTACACATTTATCCACACCCCTCCTTTTTTACGCCAGATGGCAACAGTCCTCAGCTATTTAATAGAGCATGTGCCTATGTTGCTCTCTCCCAAGTCCCCTTATCTGCCTCTAACCAGCAGGTGTTTGCTAAATTTTCATCCCCTTCTAGTTTAGCTGGGCCCTTCAGGACTCCCCTTTATATAATCCAGTGTCAGTAGCACTTATACCAGCCCCAGTATTCATTATGTTCTCATGAAAATAAGTAGATCAAACCAGGAGGCAGGCCCTGATCTCCAGGACACCATGCTCTTAACGAGAGCTGGTTGAAATGTGCTCACATTCTATGGAGAAAACAATGCAGAAACCCCACCACCACCACCAATGTGTTATAATTTTTCTCCCTATCTTTCTGACTGGCTTCTCTTTCACAGTGAAAATCAGCCATTTCTTCCCACATCTCCCTCCATCACGCCTAATTCATGACAAAGACATAATTACCATTTTTTTGAATAGCCTCCTATTTGTTTTACTTTGTAAATAGATACATTATTACATAATTACATACATGGTACTAATTATACAGTCTTGTGTACTTAGGTCATTATGTAATGCCATAATTGCATATCCTAATTACTACATATACATGTAGCTACCTAATTATGCATTGGAGATTGTGGCTGTGATTAAAGGATGAGATTTGACTAATTAAGGTTATGTGAGTGGATAGCAAAATAGTTCTTGACCTTTTGTTCCACACACTAAAAATAATTTGCAAACACATAGTATATGAAATTATATATAAAAGTTTGACCATAAACTGATACCGTGAAGGTAGTAGACTTGCTTGAGTGCAAGTCCTGTCTGGACAATATAGCGCATTCCTATGAATGATCTTTTAATGGACTGTGCTAAGGTACTATTGAAAAGCGTAGTGTACATTGGCCCTTGTCTCAGCTCTATAGCAGTGTGTGATTTATCTAGTGAGTGGCTCTATTATGTGTAGCACACTGATACATTACAACATCCTATCTCACTCCTTTCCGCCCCCCTCTAGAGGCCTTTGTCTGTTGGTGGTGGGGTGTGAAGAGACCAAAAGCCTGCTAGCATATATGCTGTAGTCAAAAGCATATTGTGGGCAATACTGTCTTCTCAGAGGGACAATGCAGTTCTGGGGTTGCTACAAGAAGTCCTGTTCTGGTCACTATAAAGTCTCTTGCACAAGATGCACCAGCCAATAATGTCTTTGCCTTTGCATCAGTGTGTCAGCCACAGCAAGATTTACCCTAATAAAAGAATGGAGTCACAGCCTTAAGCCATGTGTTACCCCAAGTGTCTGCTTCATAGACATTCTCTGGCAGTTCTGCATGTCTCTGGGGGTGATCTATGTCCCTTTGTGTTACTAGGAAGTTAATTTACCTGTAGGAGTTGCACAAGATGAAATAAAAGTTATGAGTTAATATAAATGTTATGGCTAGAGTTATAGCTTAGGAAAAGCTGTCAGTCCTGGCAGTGATAGAAATGTTCGGGGGGGGGAGGGTGCTGAAATAAGGAGCAGAGAAATTGGGCTCCTTTTAGGAAAGGGTTAGTACATGGGAAAGGGGTACCCCATAAGTTCCTAAGTAGAAATAGACCAGTGCCACAATATTCGGTTCATTATGATAGTTCAGTGATAGTTAAGTGTGGTAGATGGGTAGTTTGGAGTCATCTTGATTGAGTTCCAGAGACTTTTAAGCTTCTTTTGTGGTGCTGCAGTGATGCAAAGGAGATTTAAAACAGCTGTAAGGCAGCAGCTGGGAATTTTCCTGTGGTGATGAATTCCCTAAGAGACATGTGGAGCATTTTGTGTCTTGCTCCGGCCCAACCCTTTCACCCCCCTAGAAATCTACAGAGCTGGAGTTGCGTACCTTTACGACGAGCTGCTGGATCTAGTGTAGACCTGGCTTGAGGCAAATCAACATTTATGACAGGGCTCTACCAAATTCACAGTCATGAGAAACACCTCACAGACTGAAATCTGGCTGTTGTGGTATTTCCACCCGTACTTCTGTGCTGCCTTTAGAGCCGGGTAACCAGATAGTGCAAGCTACTGACTGGGTGCCCAGCTCTGAAGGCCGTGCTAGCTAGACACAGCACAGAAGTAAGGGTAGCCTGTAATACCGTTGTCACCAACCAGTAGATCGCGATCTACCGGTAGATCTCGCTCTAAGAGTAGCTCTTGAACCCTCTCTGAACTGCGCACCTGCACAGTACATTTACATTAGATTTCCTCATTTGAGGAGCAGCTACTCACCGAGCAACAGCACAGGTGAGTAGCTGCGAGGAATGGTGGGGATTTTTTTTAAAGTAGTAGTATAAGGATTGGGGATAGCAAATGATGGAGAGGAGGAGAATAGAGAGGGCGGGGCTTCAAGGAAGGGGCGGGGCGATAGATCTTGGCTTGTTCTGTCATTTAAAAAGTGATCTTGGGTGTAAAAAGGTTGGAGACCACTGCTGTAATACAATGTATGAGCACATCCACAAAATGGCCTATTTATGCCATGACTGACCTGTGCAAAATGTGTGATTTCTCTGCGATTTAAGTAGACCCTATTAATGATCCTGTACATTGATCAAAAGCAATGGAAGTGAGTTTAAATTTGTAACCTATACACCATACAATTGTTTTTAAAAAGGAACTTTAGAAACTTCAGTTTAAAATGTGTAAGGTTTGTAAATTGATTCAGAAAGTGAAGTGAGAGCTACTGAAAATAAGACCATTAAAACTAGGTTGTGCACAACAAATAAACAAGAGCTTTAAAAAAAAAAGTCCTGCTGTCTGTATTAGGGATGTTAAATATCGGTTAATTGAATAGTCAGTTAAGCTCATGAATTCTTATCAGTTACTCGACTATTCTAAAATGCCAGGCAGAAGCTGGTCCGCAAGGGGAGCCAGTTTAAAAACAAGCTCCTTGCATAGGGTGGCAGCAGCCCCTGTCTGGGGAGGAAGAGGGTCTAAACTCTCGGACCCAGCACAAGCCAGAACTGAGACAGGATACCTGCCTGGCTGGCTGCTAATATACTTTCAATGCAGAGCTGCCGCAGGGGGAAGGTCCCAGACCCAGGGCAAGCTGGGGCTGAGCCAGCCTGCCAAAAAATTTACTTGGGGGGGAGAATGCATGTAGTCTATAGCATTAACCAGTAAGCTTTTGCATATTGGTTAATTGACTACACTATTACATCCTGAGTTTAAATACAGTTAAAAAGCAGAAAATATCTCAATAGCCAAACTGGACAGTTCCTTCAAAATTTACATGACTTTCAGCTAATGGCTCATATATTTGTTGCTTTCTGTTGTGAAACTAAACTGCTTCAGTTTTTGAAAAACAGCTATCCTTTTAAGATACGATCCTGTAAATGCCAGCAGCCTGCTGATGATATGTGTTGCAGTTATTTGAGCCCCAAGCAAACAAATCTTTGAGTTTCTGGGTGCTTCCTGCTGTGGTATTTATCAGTAGCACATATGAAACATGACAGCAGTAGAAGTCATCTGACTTTTTTATGCTCTTGTATCCCTAAATTAGGGACTGGAATATGCACCAACTGCTTGGAGATACTGTGAGATTAAATTAATGACTGTAAAGCTCTTCCAAGGGCTGGCTTGAAAGGTACTGTGGGGTAGTGGTAGCATTAAAAGTTCTTTTAAACATTCTTGAAAGCCCAAAGCTAAAATGTCAGCAAAACTCTTGAGCACTTATATGAAAAGATCAGAAATGACGTATGGTATCCAGATGGGAGATATTTGAATGATGGTTTTGCTATTGCTTCAATATCTCTTCCAAGTTCTTATAGTATGTATATTTTTTTGTCTTCCTTCCCTCATTGCATCCGGCTGCTTTAATCTTAACTTTAGGAAACACTAGGATTTGCTATCCAGATGGTGTTTACTGTTTTTGCGCTTGGCTTTTTGCATAAAAGAAAATCTCTCTTCATAGGACTTTACCATGGTTTTGTTCTCTTTCCTTTTAGAAATCATCCAGAATCCCTGAGGATGACATCAGGCTGAGAAAAGACAGAGACCGAAATTGTGCCAATTTCCCAGAGCCTGTTAGTGTACTTGCTGCAAAGGAAGAGAAAATGGAAATTGAAGTCCCAGTCTCGGAACATAAAAACATCACTGTGATGGCTGCCGCACATTCCGTGGACAATCAGGCCCACTTCTTTTCACCTATTCCCAGTCACAATGGACTTAAGGACAGGCATGAGTCCCTGGATAGTGAAGTTGCTAAAGAGATCAGATATCTAGATGAGGTGCTGGAGGCCAACTGCTGTGATTCTGCAGCAGATAACCCCTTCAATGGGACATGCTCCCCTGAGCCAAGTGCAATGGTTATGGATGGCTTTGTTACTAGTGAATCAGCACCCAATGAAAAGGACATCATAGCAGCCGGCAGGCAAGCACCCCAAATTGTTGAACAGAGTGAAACCAACCTAATGGCTGAGAAACTGAAACCTAATGGCCATTCTTCAGATGAACAGAAAGAGGAGCTTTGTGGCAGTCTAAAAACACCGGCGAGTCCATGTTCTTCAACCAGTTCCAGAAGATCTTCCAAGGACGGAGAACTAACTTTAACTACTATTAAGAAAGAGGCTAAATTTGAACTTAGAGCCTTCCAGGAAGAAAAGAAGCCATCCAAGCTCTTTGACGATGATAACGAGAAGGAGAATTACAGAGTCCGGAAAGTGAGGCCCTCGGAGGAAATAATAGAACTTGAAAAGGAGAGAAGGGAGCTTATTAAAAGCCAAGCGGTAAAGAAGAATCCTGGCATCGCAGCCAAATGGTGGAACCCGCCCCAAGAAAAGACACTGGAGGAGCAATTAGATGAAGAACACCTGGAGTCCCACAAGAAGTACAAGGAACGGAAAGAGAAACAACAGCAACAAAGCACGACACCAACGTCGCCAAAACAAGTGGCCTATTCCTTTGTACCTCCAGAGCCAGCCTCTGTTAAAAAAGAAGATATTGTCACAGAACAGATAGATTTTTCAGCAGCCAGGAAACAGTTTCAGTTGATGGAAAATTCCGGTCTGTCTAGTAGCCAGACTGCACCAAGGAGATCAGGGACACCCAGAATGTTCTCTATCAAACCCTTCTACAAACCCATTGGTCCATCGCAATTAGACAGGCCAACAGTTCCCATGACGAGGCCGGCTGCTGTATGTGGGCAAACAGGACCACTTGAGAATAATGATATAACCATTATAAAAGCTCAGAAGGTCTCCTGTGTCTCAGAAGATCATCCTATAACTATTCAGAGTAGTCCAGATGACCCAGTAAGAGAATTGGCTGACAATGATGTCCCAAAGCCTGGTCAGACCACAAAGCTGTGGGCAGATGACAGTGAATTCATGAGTGCGAGAGCCGTCTTTATGGTGGTAAAGGACGATGACCCGGGCATTTTGGATCAGTTTTCAAGGTCAGTCAATGTGTCTTCTCCTCCAGAGGAGCTGGATTCTGGTTTGGATGAATTGTCAGTGAGATCTCAGGATACCACAGTCTTGGAAACGCTTTCCAATGATTTCAGCATGGATAATATCAGTGACAGTGGCGCCTCTAATGAGACGATGAACGCCCTCCAAGAAAATTCACTTGCAGATTTCTCTCTCCCCCAGACTCCTCAAATGGACACCCCCTCAGAGTGTCAGGGAGGTGTTTCCAAGTCATTTAGTGACCATGGCTTTGATTCCCCTTCCTCCACATTGCTAGACTCCATGTTGGTTGATGACCACCTGGACTACCATGCTGGCCTACTAGTGCAAAATGCAATTCAACAAGCCATAGCTGAGCAAGCTGACCTAGCAGGCTCTAAAGAAGTGACAGACAAAGATGAGGAGAAGAACCCTGTCAAGGACCAAGAAGAAGTCAACATGGCACCGTGTTCTGAGAAGCAGCAGAGCACGATGTTTGAGCCACCCCAGGTGTCTTCTCCTGTTCAAGAAAAAAAAGATACAATACCAAAGACTTCACCAGATGAAGACTCAGGACTCAGGGAAGGGAAGATTTCCCAACAATCTTCTGTATCCCATACCAGCCAGCCATTTGTTGTGGAGCAAATCAGGCCGGAGGTCAGCTATTTTAGCAAGTACTCGGAGGCAGCTGAGCTTAGAAGCACTGCTTCCATCCTGGCTACACAAGAATCAGAGGTGACCGTGGGTCCTTTTAAGCTCAGGTCAAGAAAACAGCGGACTTTGTCCATGATAGAAGAAGAAATCCGAGCAGCCCAGCAGCGAGAGGAGGAACTGAAGAGACAGAGGCAAGGTCTACAGATGGCACGGAGTCCCATCACAAAGAGTGCACCTCCGCTGCCCACCAGAACAGTGGCTTACAAAACTGCTCCAGGTAAGAGCCAGAAGTTAAATATTTGGCGTCATTAAAAGATGTGGGTTTTGGTGTATTGAATGACTTTGCAACTGCAATATCCAAAGACAGCAGAGAGTGTATATTCAGGCAAGGCAAGCACATTATCTCATTACTCCTAGTGGGAGAGGTGTATGCAGCAAAGGGATATATATTCTTTTCCCCAAGCATAGCAGTGACAGGTCTTGGACACTACAAGGATGTGTTTGAAGGTACTTCATAACATTTGTGGTCCTGGGGCTTGAATCTTGCTGTGTAATTTAGGACTGTCAGATGCAACATAGAGGAAGACAGTACTTTTTACAACAGTATGCCTATTTAAAGGGCAACCTGCAAAGGATTTATTCATTCCCCTTTGAGCCCTTTTTTTGTTTTTATAATATTTAAAGACCTGAAAAGTTTGTTGTCTCCCTCCCTACCCCCAGCTAACCTCATTATTTTTTCCTGCTTGCATTTCATTGTGGAAATAGCAGATCTATCAAATCTTGTGTTGCTGAAGAGCTTCATATGGGGGAAAAGTCTCCATATTATGAATTCTATCTCTGAACTAACAGGATATTAATTGATTGGTCTTAGGTATTACAAGTTAACAAAGTTCTCGCTTGACTGACTAAAAACACCTTCCCATCTCTGTTGTTCATCTTTCACTCTCTTGTTTCTTATTGTTGTAATTGTGCTCGTGTCACTGCTGATAATTGTTCAAAGCAACAAAAAAACTTCCCTCCCCACCCACACTTTTCCAAAACAAAAACAGACTCTCAGGCCTTGTGACATCATAAAAAAGACAAAAATAACACACGCCTGATTTTTTTTTCTTTGCAGGTTTTCTTAATGGCTGTAGACCACTGTAGGGTCCAGTAGTATTCTAAATGTCTCATTCACAGAGATCCTTGCAGAGAAATGTTTCATTAAAGTTATGGGAAGATGTAAATGTTGATCCAAATTCTGTTGTTCTTTCCACTGGCAGCATCAGGACTAAGAAACTTGGAAGAGTTTGGTAGGCCAATTCCATGTGCGTGTGTGTGAGAGAGAGACAGGGGATTCTCATTTGAGCGGCCCATTACCAAAGGGTCTATTCCCAAGTAAGTCTGTGATGTACTTCAATGGGAGTTGTGTTTAGATTGCACTCCTGTAGCGAATCCGGATGTGAGCAGTATGCCTAATATAAATAGTTAACTTTTATTTTTGTTTCCTTCATGTAAAGAGAGAGATTTTGGTCTCTGTTTCTTGAGGGGGGGGGGGGGGGGGAGGAGAAATGGTACCAGATGCTGGTAACGTCTTTGAAGTGCTATTATTATCCCAAAACACAATATGAAGAGGAAGCCATATAGATTGAACTAAATAGAATAGTTTGCTCTCTGACACGCAAGGGTTTGTCATCCCATGTGCTAAATTGTCATAGGTCTGTGTGCGCCAAAGGAGCTATGACACTTCACTCAGGAGAAGACCTGACCATGAATTTTAAAGACTCAACAAAGATTCTGAGATTTTTAAGGCCAACCAGGATCGTTAGATACCAGTCTCATATCCTGCATAGTGCAGGCCAGAGAATCTCATCCTGGAACCTCTGTGGTGAGCTCTGTAACTTGTTCGACTAACCTGTATCAGAGATAAGAGACGTGGGCCTCTGCCATGAAAAACAGCTTCAGTGGCAACTGCAGGTGGGAGAAACGTGGTTGGGGCAGGTTGCATTTCGTTTGTTAGTAGTTTGGGATGACTGCTGAGTCTAATACTTGAACAGCAGATGGAAAAGTGTTTGTTTCTCTTACTCTTATTTTTTCTAGACAACAAATATTTACTTTATTTTTAAAGTTAAGATGCCAAATACGCATTATACTAGAAGATTTACCCAGCATTGCTCAGGGCCTTAACTCAGTTAATTTTTATTTTTCTTTGTTTAAATCATTATTCTGGGGAGGAGAAGTTCAGAATGCAAGGTGCTCTGGGAAGAGAAGCCACCCCCAGTTCCCTCTCACCGCAGCAGCTTGGGCCCGTGAGATGCGCCTGCCCATGGCCACTTCAGTTCCAGCAGGCACAGCTAGGAGAAGAATGCATGTCTCCCAGAAACAGACTCATAAATTCCCTGAAATCTAGAGTAGATAGCTGTCCCTTTCTCCACCCCTGCACACTGCTGGCCCAATGGGGTTATAGCTGTCCTGGTCCCCATCTATGGACTCTTGCTGCCTCCGTGTGGTCATTCTACAGTATAACTGTTCCTCCGGCCAGATCCCTCCCCTCCCTTTCCATGTTATGAGAAACAGTTGAATTCCAGGCACATCCCATTGTCCTGGCACAACCAAATGCTGACTTTGCTTTAAGTTTTGGTAAGTGGGGTTATAGCTGTCCTGGTCCCCATCTATGGACTCTTGCTGCCTCCGTGTGGTCATTCTACAGTATAACTGTTCCTCCGGCCAGATCCCTCCCCTCCCTTTCCATGTTATGAGAAACAGTTGAATTCCAGGCACATCCCATTGTCCTGGCACAACCAAATGCTGACTTTGCTTTAAGTTTTGGTAAGTGGAAGCTGCCTACCAAATTTGCTGGTCCTTGTTCTTACCGTTTAGGAGGAGTTCTTGAATAAATGGACTTCCAGACAGACAGAATTGCACATTTCTAAAATATATAGTAAGATTTTTCTGGAAATGTTGCATTTATATTTGGAATGAGCTGGTTTGGATAGATTTCCCTAAGTGTGTCCAAGCAGCGGAAGTTCAAGAAATATCTCAGGTCCATTGGCACAGCCTGTATTGCTTCATCAGACCTTGGTTACAGGTGACATGGATGGTTCCTTGGGGACAGCTAATCCACCCCAACACAAAAGCCTGTCACACAAAAAAAAGAAAGAAAATAAAAGAACTCTGGCAAAATCTCTTTGAAAGGCCCTATGATCACCTGTATTTTAACAGTATGGACTGAATCCTGCACTGGTATAAATCTGCATAGCTCAGTTGAAGTTGGTGCTCCAGGATGAATCCCTACAGGTCATCCTAGCTTTTCTTGTCCGGTTAGCCCACAGACTAAAGATGCTGTCGTTATGGTTTTTGCAGTCTTGAGAGAAACATCATAAAATACAGAGTTGTTTATAAGTAACTGTGGCTGGCAGTGGAGAATTTTGCAGGTTGCAAGACCTTGTTTTTGATGTTTCTGTTTGCAGGGCCAGGTGCTGACCATAAACCTGGTTCCATTGGCTACCAACCAGTTATAGGGGTGATTCTCTAGTCGTACAGCACAGGAGGAAATCTACCTTTGGCGATCCCTAGAAAAGGTCATGTGTAATCTGATTGTAGGTTGGGATTTTGAGAGACTTCCACACTAAACCACTGAAAACCTGCGGTGTTATAGCAGCCAAATTGCCATGTATAAAGAAAGAGCTAATATCGCACCATGCCACCATCAATAGAGTGAGGTTGGAGGGGGCATGTGGAAACTGAAGAATTGATTACTAATCTGAAGTGGAGAGGGATAAAGCCATCAAAACCCTTTAGAGGAAATGAAGCAATTGACTTCTCTGATGTCAACCTACCTGTACTTATAGATGTCACTGATGCTTTGCTCTGTCGTGTGATAGATGGAACAGCTTTACTTGAGACTCATGTTGGTCCTCTAATGTTTCATCTCAATATAGTCCTTTTTTGGCCCTCTGAGCTTAGAACACTAGCACAGAAAGGGACCTTGAGAGGTAATCAGGTCCAGTCCCCTGCCCTCACAGCAGGACCAAACACCTAGATCAGGGCTCAACTTTGGAAGCCCCGGGGGCCACAATGATACTCACAGCACATGCCGAGTGCCGCAACTTAAGTGTGGTTGCATACACATGCAAATATATATGCAAATAGCTTCCTTCACACTGGTGGGCATGAGTACAAGGCTCTCCCAGTACCTCCTCCCTGTGGGCTAGAAATGCCAACACCCTGCACCCATCTGTTCCAGCCAGCCCATCCAATTGTGCCTTTTAATGCTCACCCCACCTGGGAGATGCCTCGCTGTTGGGGAACATGTTCCCAGTAGAGGCCATATTCAAAAGACCCCACTCACATGCCACGTGTTGAGCCCCACGTAAACCCAAATCACACCGCAGGCTGCAACAAACGGGCTGTGTGTTGACTTAGCCCTGTTCTAGATCATCCCTTATATCATCATGATATAAAAAGGTACACATTAGCTGAGTTTGTATTATGACATAAATGTAGAAGAAAAAATATCTTGTGAGCATATTGTGAAGCCACTGATATTTCAAAAAATGTCCACTACCTTAAATAACGAAGGACCTGATTCTGCCACCTTTACGTGTGCTATATAGTGTCTTATTCTGTGAGCAGTCCCTATTAAAATTAGTACTAAGCAGAAGCAAGAGTGGATCTAAATTAGTGCCTCTCAACCAGGGGTATGTGGGTCCTAGGAGTACTGAAAAGTCTTCCAGGGCTACAGCAACTCATCTAGACATTTGCCTAATTTTACAACAGGTTACATAAAAAGCACCAGTGAAGTCCGTACAAATTAAATTTCATATTAGACAATTATTTGTTTATACGTCTCTGTATAGTAGACACTGAACTGTAAGTACAATATTTATATTCTGCTTGATTTATTTAAGCAATTTCTCAATAATAGTGTACTGTGATGCTTTTGTATTTTTTGTCTGATTTTGTATGCTCTGGATTGGGTTTGAAAAAGCTTTGAAAATCTGGTTTGCATTGTTACAAGTTAATTGCTTTCTGCATCTTTCACATCTTTCTTACTAGAATCCTTGTAAACGTACATTCTTTTTTCTGACCTTGATTGTGCTGCCTGTAGAAGGATGAGATATTTGGGCTGTCAAAGAATTAAATGAGTCACGCGGGTTTTTTTTCTTCTAGGGCTTTTGCACTGCTTTTAGTGAGAAAGCTGGTTAGAGCAAAACCATCTCTGTATACCAGATGTCTCATCAGAAAACATGGGAAATCCCTAACATGATGTGACCAATGCCTCATGGTAGTCATCAC